TTATGTTAAACAGCACTGTTACTCATGGTTATTATGCACAATGCATTGTTAAACTGTTAGTGGAATTTTAATTGTCGTTGCCCCAAGGATTGGTTTTAGAGACGAGTAATTGAAGAACGTTTTTTCTTCGACCTCGTTTGTGCTGGAAGTTTCATCAGTAACTGGTACTACTTGAGGCGTTTTTCTGAACTAGTTATTGCCGTTTCTCAAAATGGGAAGTTCGTTAGATAGTATCTTTGATGCAATTTTCATTTTATCGATCATAGTCGGAATTAAAATGGAAATTAAAGCTTTTGGATTTTCAGTGGATCAAATGTGAGTATTGTAAGTGAATCCTGCTTCATCCGTAAACAAAATGCAATTTAAAAAGCTAGGGCGTTCACGATACTGCTATAACAACCATTCGCAGTGTATTACACGACGTGGCAAATCAGCGGGCTCCAAAGCTTGCACTTTTTGAACGTGGTATGGATGTAGGCCTGGCTCTTTTAATATACGATGCTCTAGAAACTATGAAACTCCAATTTCAGCTGCAAGTCGGTGACTGCTGATGTCGGGCTCTTCTTCAACGCGTTCCAAAATTTGTTCTTCAGCTTGCAGTATTCTTTGAGTTGGAGGCTTGAAGGTACCATGATCTCGGAGATGCTGTACCACTGATGTAAATGTTCGCGCACACGGAATCACGCGATTTGGAAAGCCCTCGATCCTGAATTGGAAAAATTCACCTTGAGGGATACGCCTTAGATGCTATCGTGATTAATTCTGAACTCGTCCCTAAAGATAAGTCTAATCTGCGATAGCTCTGTTTCAAAAAGGTCGTCGAGTCATATGTCAAATTTTGAAATTTGTCATTTGTCCTAGTCAAAAATGATGCGATTTAACGACCAACCAAAACAAATAATTTTAAATGTGTTAGACTATCTTGAGATTATCCATTCGCGATCTTTATATAGTAAAGTAGGCTTTGATACTTTTTCTTTAAGTTGGATAAACTGATTCGATGATTTAGTTTTTTATCTGTCAATAGTCTGATTGACGTTTATTCACTTCATTTATTAGATCAGAATTATTAGACGCAATTTTTTAATCAAGCAAACAAATGTTTTAATTTTGTCAGCATAAATAATTTGTCATTGTGACAGATTCACTGATCATTGCGACATTATTTAAAAAGAAAATGCCTAAAATAGTTTTACTGCAACAAAAAATTGCAATAAAAAGATGTTTTTTGCAGTTTCGAAAAGACAGGCCCGATCTTTCTTTCGAAGAAGTAACTATGAGGGTCTAGAACATATTTTCTGTAATGTAAAAATACGCTGTAAAATATTTTTTATTTTTTTTTCTCATAGGTGGGAACATCAACTGTGGCGAAAATTTTATCAACAGGGGACCAAAATTTAAAAACATCAGTATCTGGCAAGCGAAAACCAACGGATTTATTTATAAATTATATGTCTCGGAAAGACCTGCAACGACAAATTTGGCAACTTAATGAAAAAAACGAATATTTCACTGTAGATACTTTTTTGGCATATTCTAGGGAACAGGTGGAATTTAAAGGGGGGCGAACTACATTATACAAAATTCTTAAGTCAATGGGTTATAAACACAGGGAAGTAAATGGTCGCAAAATTCTATGTGAACAAAAACATGTTGCAGCCAAAATTACTTTTTTGAGAACATATTTACAGTTTCTAACTTCTTGTGAAAATTTGACTTTCGTGTTTTTGGATGAAACTTGGATTTATCAAAATGGTTCGTCCATTCGTCACTGGGTGCACGATACTGATCTAAAAAGCAATCCCACCAAAATTAAACATGAAGGATCAAGGTTTACTATTCTTCACGCGGGTTGTTCAACGGGGTTCTCGGATGGTTTTAACAATTTTTTAAATTCAAAAAACAACGATAGAGACTATCATAAAACAATGGAAGGGACAATTTTTCAAAATTAGGTGGTTAATCAGCTCATTCCTGCTTTGGCAAAGTTGAACCAAAAATGTGTGGTGGTTTTAGACAATGTACCCTATCATTCGGTTCAGTTGGATAAACCACCCACTTTTTCTAGTAAAAAATGTGAAATGCAGGAATGGCTCTTTAAATGTGTGAATTTGACAAAAAATTTTCGAAGAAACAGTTGTGGGGTTTAATTAAACCCTTCAGAAACAATAGAAAAAAAAGATATTTGGTAGACGAGACATTAAGAGAAAGTGGCCATGAAGTTCTTAGATTACCTCCGTACCATTGTCAATATAATACAACTGAAATGGCGTGGGGATTTTGTAAGAACTATTGCAACAAGCATATAAATTTTCAACCTTCATTAAAAAATAGGGTGGAGAATTTATGGCTTGAGGTGCTTTCTAAATGTACTCCAAGCATATGGCAAAATTGTTGTAAACATTGTGAAAAACTTTTTTTGGCAGATTGGGAAAAAATATGGGAAATCTTTCCTACGAATCTATACCTCCTTTCATTATTTCGCTAGGTGAATCTGATTCAGAATCTGAATTTAAAAATGAGGATGATGATACAGATTTTCATAGCGAAATAATGGAAATGGAGTGAATTGTAGCACAGTAGAGATAACAATCAGTAGAGACAGCTCGCCGTTTTTCGTGACCCGTTTTCGTGGGTGGTCGTTCGCATTATGACCGAATGAGGGCGCCCAACTGACGTCTAAAATATTTGAAATTTGGCAGTTTTGTTACAATATTTTTGCCGGTTTTGCTTGTTTAAGACTGCTTTTCCGGTAGAATTGTACAAATAGTGTAAAAATGTAATTTTGACAATAAAAGGTAAAATCTTTGTCCGATGAATTTTCATACAGGATCCCTGTTGTGCGCCTTATTTTCTCCATCGTGTTTGGAATTCTTGGAAAAGATAGTAAACATAACACACTTTTTGTTTAAAAAGTCGTCGCAAACGGACAACAACGGTGGTTATGAAATAAATAATAAAAATTTATTATATATGATTCCGTTGTTGTGGTAAAATTAAATATAAAAATAATAAGAAACAAACTATACGTAACAAAAAATTATATAAGCAGACCTTCTCTCAATAAACAATTTTTTTATTCATCATGTATATATATATATTTTTTGACCTACACAATCTTGAGTTTTATTTTGAAACGTTGCTTAACCCATAAGCAGTCGCGCGTGGATAAAAATGACCCAAGCCGTACATTTTGTCAAATATCCTTTTTCGCTTATGGACCTCCGGTTTCATGAATTCCTTAATTATTCTTACCTGCGTCGACCCATACCAATTACCTGCACTTTATGTGAGCCGACAAATATGCATTTTTTTTGTAATAATTTTTTTTAAATAAAAATTTTACTTTATATGTTATTACGCTTACGGGTTAAGTTGTTAGGTAAAATGGGTTTGACTATATATTAATAAGACGCACTAGAAAACTGTTTTGGATGGATTAGGAAACAAAATGGAAATTCTATTAACCCCACATCTATTCAATTTCAAATGGCTTTTAGAAAATTAATCATACAAGATTATTTTGATGAAACGAACACAGGTAATCAAAACTGCGAGCCTGATATGGAAGAAATTTTAAAGTTAAATGTAGGTCGTCGTTTTGATGAAGAAGAATAAGTCACCACGATGCAGAAGACCACCTTAAAACTACACAGTTTGCAATAAATTGCGTACACGAATCAATTTTTGAAATTATAAATGAAGTGATACTTTTTAAATTGGGTGGCGACATCTAGGAATAGTTTAGGCAACGACCACCCATGACGGCTTAAAATTCGGGTCAGAAAGAACAAAGGCGCCGACACGAGCTGTCTCTACTGATTGTTATCTCTGCTGTGATTGTAGCTTGTCGGGGGGTGATATTTTTACGCATCTTTGGTTCTAAATTTACCAAGGTAGTATGTGAAAAACTGCCTGACGTACAACAAAATAAGTATAATTTTAGTTAGATCATCCACGTTGTTACTTTGCACCAAATTTTAAACATTTTCATTTTTTTTGTAACTCATCATGCACCTGGAGAAGGCGTATAGTAACGTTCTTATTAATAAGCGTTTGGAAGTACTTAGTAAAAGCAAATAAAGAGCACTTACGTAAGCATTAGTAATAGCTATATAGATAAATCATTCAATTTAAGGCCGGAAAAATGTTTCAGAAGAGCTAAACCCATCAAAGCATTAGAGGAAGGTTGTTGTCTTTTACCAACCCTTTTAGTAATCTTAGAAAAGTGAAAAAAGAAGTTGGAAGATATGGAAATAGGCTGTTCACAAAGGTCGAAATTTCCATTCCTAAGAAGAGTGGGCGAGCAGAACGAACTGATGATTGAGAATTAAAGACGAGATGGTAAATGTGGCCTGCGACAATAGTCGTATTCATATAAAAATAATATTTAAGTGAAATTTTAGTGTTTGAAATAAACACTTACAAAAAGCCGAATTACTGTTTTAAATAGCGTAAAGTTTTATGCTATTGAGGGACTCATTAATTAGTAGCCTAAAAAATCCAATTTACAAAAAATTTCTCGTACTGACTTTCCTTTTTTAGTATCTGGACCTTTCAGTAATTTCGAATTTGAAATTTCGATTTATCATATTCGTAACATATGTATATGAAATCACCTAGGAAAAGTTACTAAAAAATGTCATATTCTAAGTGTTTTTGACTAGGGGTATTTCCACGACTATAATGTAAAAATAACTGAAATTTAATAGTAGGTAAAACCTAAAAATCTGCGATAAAGTACTTGTAGTGATTGGAGACAAATAAACAAACTTCTTTCCATCCTCGTTTATTACCTCTTCATACATACATCTCAAATATTTACAATCCCATAAATGCGCCTCATCCTCCCTTTAATAAACTTGTACATGTACATGAAATGACTTTTTAAAATGATTGTGCAGAAATTTACTTCTCACTCATGATCAAAGTGCCGGCGGCCCTCCCGACCCCCATATCAAGATCAGTATATACAGCAAATACAAGTCGGAATAAACAAATCATGTAACGTTGATCTCCTCGTCACTGTCGTTCGAACTGTCGTAATCCACCCCGTCGTAGATCTGGTAGTTCTGCACGGGGTGGCAGTGGCCTCCGCTTCCTGTTTCCCCTAGCTCGGGGGAGTTCACCGGAGAGATATCCTGTACGTCTGTCAGATCCAGCTTCGGTTTGTCCCCGTCGGCGTCGCTCAGGTCCGGATGGGGGTTGTTCTTGTTGGGGAGCGTCTGCTCGCGGGAACCCCCGGCGGCGAGCAGCTCGCGCTCTTTCGAGTTCCGCCATTTCATTCGGCGGTTTTGGAACCAGATTTTAACCTAAAAAAATATTAATTAGAGATGGTGTAATGTAAAGTGTAATGAGCACTGTTCACGTAGCTGGTTTCCCCATATTTAACCGATAGAAACTTTATTGGTTGAGAGAGATATCGGTTTATAACAGCTAAATTTAATACTAAGTTGAATAGAATACAAAAATAAAGTCAAAAGTGTTAGAACTCTAAGTGATTAGTTGTTTTTAGTTTCTTTCTTTTAGATGCTTTAACCAGGAAAACAAATTTTATTATAAACGCTTAAAAAAATAATACCATTATTCATATTTGAAATTCTTTAGAAAGCGAAGTGATTGGTAAATTTCACATACAAAAGTTCTGAAGATTCGTTAATCGAGAGAAGTGAACTTTTAAGAATTAAAAACACATTTTACTTCTGCGATTTTTGCTTCCTGAGCATAAGCTAAGGAAGTTTTGAAATACGGTTCATCTGGTGTAATTATTAGAGATAAAAACTAAACTCCAAACTAGTGAATGGAATGTTAGATATTTTAGGAATACTTAACGTCTATATCGTAAAACTCTAAACAAAATGCATCCGATCATTCTGACCAATTTTCTAAAATAACATACTCTTGTACTTGTGGTATATGAATCAGTCTTGATTTTTTGTCCTAGATATCCAGATTGTCGCATTAAAATCTAAATTGTGTAATAACATTTTATAAACTATATGAAATAAGAGAAAGAAAGAGATCGTTGGCCCACCTTTTTTGTTCTAGGTCTCACTATATTTTTCTAAAAAACTGGATTTATTGTATTGTAAGTATTTCATTGACATGGGAAGTTCTGTCTAATAACGTGAGACTATTTTTGTGTTTGGACTGGCTACAAAAATTTAAACAATCTAAAGCAGAAGTCGAAAGATGTGTAGTGGTTAATAATCACAAAAAAAAACACATTCAATAAATGATTCTTTAATACTTTTTACTTCCCGAACGTAAGCTAAGGAAGTATAGTAAATGAGTCCACCGGCCGAATTGCCACTCATTTCCGTCTGTCTGTTTGTCTGTCTGTCTGTCTGTCGGTCTGTTTTTTATTTTCCATTTTTATTAGACAAGTAATCTCCGAAACTACTGGACCGACTATTGTCAAATTTTGTACGTACATTAGGAATATCATGTAGATGGTTAAATACTGACTAGAATTTGGCTAATCTAAAATAAGATATTCCTACACTTCTGGTGTGTGAATTCGTGTTGTACTTTCACCCTAAACATCCAGAATTTTTGGAAAAAATTCAGAATTCAATAATAACATTTTGCAATATAAACTTTGAAGCTACAAAACCGAATGCTGTGAAATCTTCTAAATATTGTAAGGTATTGGTAAATCGTTAAGCAAAATTTATTCGTTTAGTCCCTCCCAAAAAATTGATGACGTCATCACAAAATTTTTACGAATAAATCCTATCCAAAATGTGCAAAATATGATGAGTCTATATTGTGATTTATCATTGCATTAGAAGTTTTTACATTCCACGTATCCAAAGTGATATAGGTACGTGTCTTTGCAAAAATGTTGATCACAAAATTTTGTTAAGGGACAACTCCTTTGAAACGTACGCTCAGCATGCCTCTTTACATTTGCTTTGACGTTACATACATATCTTTATTTTAACTTATAAGGATTCTGATAAAAAAAATATAATTCGCAGAATCAAGTTTGATAACTTTTCCAACAAGCTGGATTTGTTTAATTGTATTTGCGGGGCCAGGGAAGTTCTGTCGAAATAACCTTCGACCAGTTTTTTTATACTAAATTTATGCTGTATATGGTGACTCTTTCAGGGAGTGTAGCCGTTATAGTTTTTGGAAATTTCATTGTACCCTATAAAATTTTATTGCAATAACGAGACGGACAGTACTACAATAGCAAGAGATATTTATAATTTAGGTTGTCGCGTGCCGGTAATCCTCAGATGTTAGAAAGCATAATAATCCAGGTTCGGGCAGGGACCATCGTTACTCATGAACGGAAATGACCATTATTTTATGAGTACAACTACCTGCTAAATATTCTCAGACAAATTTGAGTGAACTGGTGTGAGCCATAAATATTTCTTACCATTGTACTACTGTCCGTCTCGTTATCGTCAATAAAATTTTATAGGGTAGAATGAAATTTGCAAAACTATACCTGCGTTTAAAAATGAAACTATTTCTTTCTTAAAAATTTTATCGAGCCAAGCGAGCTGTACTATGACACATCATCTGACTATAAAAATATAGACAATCTAAATCATATCAACTAGTTTATAAGTCGAGAGCTTTCCAGGATTTTGGTAGCTATAATCATGAAATAAAAGATTAAATAAACGTTTGCACAGTTTTCTTTTTATAATACTTTTTAGATTACTATTGTTACTCATTCTTGAGATTCTCCAGGAAATGAAGTGACTTATAAACTTTCATCAAAAATTGTCCAAGGTGGTTTCAGCGAGCGAAGCGAGCGTATTGTGTTGCTATAAACACAAGTATTAGAAGTTCTAAAGATTGTTTTAGCGAGCGAAACGAGCTGCATTATGCTATATTTAAGAACTAAAAACACAATTTATCTCTTTTTATTTCTCGAGCGGAAGCGAAGGAAGTATTGTAATCCTGTCCGTCGGACGACTCCCTACTTTTACGTTTTCTCGATATTTTATGATCCCTAGAGTACGAAGAAATATGTTTCCCATTTTTGTCTGTCTGTCTGCCAGTCTGCCCGTCTGTCTGCCGTCTGTCCCGATTTTTATTAGAGAGACAATCTTCAAAAGTACTGGGCCAACTGTTGTCAAATTTTATTTATATCAGGAGTATTATGTAGATGGTAAATCGCGAACCAAAATTTGTCTAATCAGCCCTACCTACAATGTGATGACGTCACTTCAAAATTGTTCATAGTACATGGGTTTTAAATTGTATAAAATAACAAAGTCCTACACATGTAGTTTATGACTCCGTATTGAGTTTTTACCCGAAAATGTCAAAAGTCAAAATTTTTGGACAAAAAATGAAAAAATCAAAATTATAAAACATTTTCAAGCAATCTGCAAAACCGAATGCTTTGAAATCTTGCAATGTTTTAAAGTTATGATAAGCGTCATAATAAATTTTGAATCAAAATATATTTGCTTATCCCTTCCAAAAAATTGATGACGTCAGCTCAAAATTTTGCCAAATAAATTCTATCTAAAATTTCCACAATATGATGAGTCTCTACATTTTTTTAATTATTCCATTCATATTTTTTGGATGTGTTTATACAGGGTGACTCAAAAAAATTAATGAATGTGTGAATTTATTTTATTGATTTAATCAGAAACTGCAGAACCGAATGTGCAAAATATGATGCGTCGAAACTTGTGATTTATCATTATCACTGCATTAATATTTTTTACATTTGTTTATATAGGTGTCCCAAAAAAAAAAAAAAACTGAATCAATTTATTTTATTGACTATATCAAGAATTGCAAAACTGAATACTTTGAAATTTTGATCGTTTTAAAGTTATTGTAAGCATGATAGTGTTAATCAAAATATATCTGTTTAATCCTCCCAAAAAATTGATGACGTCATCTCAAAATTTTGCCGAATAAGTTCTACCCAAAATGTGTAAAGTATGATAAGTTTTTACTTGTGATTTATCACAGCATTAACATTTTTTAGATTTGTTTGAACAGGTAGCCCAAAAAAATTAATGAATGAGTCAAATTAATTTATTGATTATATTAGGAACGGCTCACTCCATTTTCTCAGAAAATTTTCAGAGTACAACACTGTTATTTTTAATATTACACTGCACCTTTTCCAAGTTGATATACGTGTCGTTGCAAAAATGTTGATGACATCATCACAAAATTGTGTAAAGAAAAAAATCAACTCGAAATTTTTTTAGATTTTAATGCCAACATTACTCATCCTTGAGATTCCTCAAAAAATAAAAAAAAAATTATAATTTATAACTTTGACCAAAAATCGCCTAAGTTGACTCCAGCGAGCGAAACGAGCATATAATGTTGCTTTAAAGTTTTAGAAGTTCTACAAATTGTTTTGGCGAGCGAAGCGAGCTGTACTAATATGCTACATTTAAGAATTAATTAAAATACGATTTATCTGTGTTTTTTTCAGAAAACGAACCGAGCTGTGTTAAGCTACATTTGACGATCGAAATATAAACAATCTAATGTGTTTCTTTTATTAATCAAATTTTGCTTTATTTCAGGATTCTTTCAGCGAACGCAGCGGACTGTATAAAGTTGTTTTTAAAAATAAAACTACTTTTTTCTTTAAAATTCTACCACGGAAACAAATTTTTGCTTTTAAAAATACCACCACTACTCATCCTTGAGATTCCTCAGAAATTGAAGTGATTTGTAAATTTGACTTAACAGAAAAATGACCGAAGACGGTTTTAGTGAGCAAAGCGAGTTGTATTATGATATTTTTAAGAACTAAAAACACAATTTATCTCTGAAATTTTTTTTCAGGGAGCGGAGCGAGCTGTGTTATATTATATTATATTCGACTAAAAAATATAAACAATCTAAAATATGTAGATTAATTTATATCAGCGGAAACTCTCAAATATTCTATTAGTAATTAAAAATAAAAGATTATTTTATTTCTAAAAAAATTTTTAAAGCAGAATATTTTAATATTAGTTGCATTTCTATCACTTTTAAAAACGAAATCTTTTAGTTAGTACAGCGAAATGTTTCATTCTTCTTTTAACACTAAAATTATGCTTTATGTCGAAATTCTTTCAGCGAACGCAGCGAGCTATACAAACCATGTTTAAAAAATAGACTATATCTTTCTGTAACAAATTTTATTAGAAACTCTCCATAATTTTTTAGCGAGCGAAGCGAGCTGTGTCATAATAGTTCTGATTACAAAATATACATATAATCTTAAGCAGATTAATTTTTTGTTGCATCTAAATACGAAACCCCAATACTTTTCAAGATTTATTTTAATAAAAACCTGTAAAAATTAAACCTGTTCTATTTTTTAAAATAATTTAGGAAGCAAATTATTACTTTTTGCTAAGTTTATTTATTTTAAAATACATCTTTTGAATATGTATTACACAATAATGGGTCCAGATCAATATTTATGTTTTCCTTTGTATAGTTAGAAAGTTGAGCATATAATTATTATTCCCAAGACGTTAAAAATTATTTCAGTAGCAAATAATTTTATTCTGTACAAGAATTTTTGAAATTAATTTTGTTCTTTTTAGAATCTTAATTTAGTTGTTGACGTGTGTAAAAATACTTTACCATTTACAACACAAATAAGTAGAACCACATTTTTTGTATAAAATTTATTACTGAATCATTTTAATTATATTGTTGCAACTGTATCTAATTTTAGCATGATCTCATTATTTTTCATAAGTGGCTTTAATGTGATAAACTACTCCGTAAACAAATTTGATTTCATTAAAATAAAAAATAATGCCCTCAAGTACGTTATTACAGTAAAAAACGAAGATCATCCGCCAAACCCTCGTATCGTTAAACTTCCCATTCCCATCGGCTACTGTCTCCCTTATAAAATTATCTTTCATGTAGACTTCATAAAACTTTCATAAAACCGCGAATCTTACCCCGAATAAAAACTTTACGAGACTACATAAACCAGCGTAAAGCCCGATAAACTTTTCATAATGACTTTAGTTATGTAGACTTTATGGCTAATTAAACCCACCCTTTCGAATCAAACCACTATCATTCCCGCACAAAAAAGCCGATTTTTCTCCGTAAACATCTAGCCGTACCTACTTTAGATAAAAAGCCTTTGTTTCGAAACAACCCCCATGCCACTCTCGACGTCGCGCAAAACAATCAGCCCTTATCGCAATCACAATTAAATCCCATTAAAATGGATTTTATCGTAAAGGAAATGATTTCAAACGAGTATTTAAGAGTCTTTACGGTCGAAAATGCGTACACTTCCAAAGGCGGACCTCTCCGGAAGATTATATAAGAAATTGAACCAATAGGAATCGCACGATCCCCTCCCTCGACCCTCGACGGACTTGGTGCTCTCTCAAATCACAACGTATTGCCACCCCTATGATGAAAAAGTAAAACGATAGCAACTGCCCAAGGATGCGGAGGAAGGGTTGCTGGCGAATTTACACAAAGGGGACGCGATGAAGGGTAATAGCGGGGCGAGTGGTTTATGTTTTTGTTTTATTGTTGCACAATGCAAATACCTAGAGGTCGAGCTAGTTGGATTTTTTTGTAATATACAGTGTGATGCATAACACGAACTTGAATATAGAGTTTAACTTAAAAAAAAAACATATGGAATGGTGCATTAATTAGTGTAACATTGCAGATATTGAATTTATATATTTACCCCCACCAACAACTTAGAAATTTTGAAAATCTGCGAATCTTTATCGCGTTCGACAATTAACAGTTTCAGCATCGATTAAATCCAGGGCCGGCTTCTGGCGCCCCCTTGCGTTCTCCCAAGAAAACTTGAAAACTGAAACAGACGTCGTCCCCCGAGCCGGCCCTGGATTGATCGATGACATAATAGATTCCTCCCCCTGTTTTCCGACTCTCCACTATTATAACCACTGTGTTAGATCTGTAACATATGTTTCTGATGGCACCCTAACAAGGGTCGTTCGTCTGATCCGAACAGATTTATTTTTTCCGTACTCACTTGACTATCTTTAAGGCCCAGTTTTTCGGCGAGCTTCTTCCTGTCCGGCTTGCTGATATATTTCTGGATTTGAAATCTCCTCTCCAGGCCCTTCCGCTGGAGGTCGCTGAAGACGGCCCTCCGCATCATGCCCCGGCGGGGTTTTCCCCGGCCGCTGTGCGCCCATGGGAACGTGCCGGGGAGGGGAAAGACGGCGGATTGGGTGCCAGAAACTGGCGTCGTTACTGGAAATTGATTGGGGTTAGTTTTATTGATGATTTCTTGATCTAAATTAAATATGAGTCAATTTTGATCGTCTCGATTATGCCCGTTTTGAAATTCTAAACTTTCAGGTTTGTTTTAATTTGAGGAATTTTGAAAGTGAATTGACGAATTCGGTTCCCGACAGTTATTGCGATCAGTATTTTCATACCTTACATTAATATATAAAAAAATGCATCTTCGTTAGAATTGTTATTAGGTATTTGTTTATTTTTGAGCCGAATTGTTTTATATTCATCAGTCACAGGCAAAAAATTATTCGTCTGAATTACCAGCGTTCGATTTGTGTGTTTATTTTCCTTGTTATTGAAATGTAGATATATAAAATAATTCAATGAACTGTGAATAAAAACGTTTTAAATTAATTGTTTTTTTCGTTTTCGGTTGGTTTAAACAAATAATTTGATTTCAATTGTGGGGTAATTAACAAATAAATGAACTATGCAAATTTAATTTCCCGTTTTTATGTCCATAAAATATCGTGTCTGGCTGACCACTGAAATGTTATTTAGAGGGGTTGACTGAATTTTTGACAATTTGTAGTAATATTTTTAATTTTTTGTCACTAATTGGTTTTGCTATTTCGGTGACAATGTAATTTGGGACGTTTAATGTTCCAGAAGCTAGGCAACATAATTGCGAGGGTTGGTTATTGTTTCATTTTTTGTACACACTGGGGACCGTTTGGTGTTCTATAATTTGTTTTTTAATTGAAACCCTTACCCCTTTCTCACTTACCTGTCAAATAAGGCTGCGGCCTACAATGAGCCAACAGCAGATGCGGATTGAAATGCGGCCTACTCGCCACCGGCTTGGCTATCGAGGACGAGTGGTTGCTGAGGTAGGACAGTCCAAGCAGGCTAGGCGGAGCCACGTGCAGGAGATTCTCTGTGAATGAAGAAGGTCAGAAAATTAGAAGTCTTCGCAAAGGCGATAATCCGTGGAAACACTGAAATATTGATCGACTGCTGGTATGTCCATAGGGTTCACAGTCTTCACAGACGACCGCTGATTTAGTTCCTTGAATGCTGAAGTGCAGGTTTACCGTTTCCGTCTGACTGTCATTCTGCGATTCGAATTTGGTTTGTTTGCGGTAATGTAGTAAGACTAGAAACTGTAGTTGGGATTTTTTATCAATTAGTTTGGAAGATGGGAAAAGATGTTGCTATTTATTTAAATTTTCCGAATTTTAATTCATACACCGGACACTGCTTTCGTTACAGTTCAGCTGCAACATCAGGCACGACAAACGAAAGGGAAAAGGGGGCTCACAAACTTAATGCAATTAATCTATTAAGTGAATGAAATTTGTGTTACCGTTGATTTAAAGATTTTTGTCGAAATGTTTTATTCATAGATTATATACAGACACATGTTCAAATCCTACCCTTCTTCAGAGATCTTTCTTGTGACCTTATGTTTTTCTACGTGATCGACATTCCAACACTTTAAAATGCTCTCACAAGAGATCGTTAATTTTTCATTTTCTTGTCAATAGATTTATTTCTACAGTTGGAACAACTTCTTTCTGAAACCGATAAAGTGGCTCTCTATTGTATGATATTGCTTTATAATTCCCACAGTTTCTTTTATGAATTTGCCGTTAACGTAAATCTGACATTATTTTATGCTAACTTTGAATAAGGAGAAGTGTTTTTTCCATATTTTGAATAAATTTTGAAGATCGCAGGAAAACTGTAATGTGAATTTCGTCGCCAAAGTTCCATAAAAAAATGTCTCAAGTTAATTATATGGAATTTGGCTTTTTCATTTTAATGTGTTTAAATATAAATAAGTAATACTAGCATGAGTAGTTAAAATTTGGAAGGAGTTCCTGTTATTTTGATTTTCTTTACGATAAATCATACGGAAAAATTGCATAAAGGTGTGAGATAGTAAAATAGAGACATAACAGCAAAAATCAAAGACAAAAATTTTTTAATTCAAAAAGCCAGGAGACTAAATAAATATAAGATAAACAAAAGGAAACATCAAGAAAGGAGAACAAGATTCTTGAATAATATGTCAAAAGAAAATAATGGAGACAACCAAAAAGTATTTCACGGAAATCTGAAACAACTCAGACAAAAAAGAAGAATACAGTTTAATGAATTTAAAGAAGAAGATGATACCATGTGACAGAATATAGAAGAGGACCAATTTATGGAAATATGGAGATCGCACTTTGAAGAATTGACAACGTAACGGAGGACCAGCCTAATAGATTCATTCGGATTCGTACTAGCGTGTTGACCAGTTCACTTAAGTTTATGTTTTCGTGTGTTATTGTTTGCGATTTAAAAAAATAAATTTAAAAACCACCCCCTTATGAAGTGTGCATGTTACGCTACTGACTGACAGTCCGTTGTCAGATTCTGATGACTCACCATGTTGAACTTAAAATAATCCATCTCTAACAACCTTTGTCCTTCAATATTAGGTAATAGCAATCTGACGTTAAAGTGTCTATTTATGTTCATACACCGAAAGAATATCGGGTAGAAATTACTTTGATTTAAATGAGTTTGTCTTCTCAAAACACAGGACTAAAATTACTAATTAAACCACAATCAAACAAAATGTTCTGAATATTATATGTAATTCTTATACTTTACTATATAAAGACGGTCGTATTCTTTACATTTTCGATAAAATTCGTTCTTAATTTGAGCAATAAAAAATTTGTGACGACGTCATCAACATGGTTAATACTAGTCACAGTACAAAAGAAAAGTAGTCACAGCGTATTACCATTGCAAGAAAAAACAAAGACACGTATGCCAGCTTGTATTGGTGCAGTGAAATACTAAAAATAAGAGAATTGTATTCCTAAAATTTCCTGAGAAAATGGAGTGAAAATAAATTGACTCATTCATTAATTTTTCCGCGCCACTTGTTTAAACATATCTAAAAAATATGAATGCAGTGATAAATAATAAGTAAAAACTCATCATATTTTGCATATTTTGGGTAGAATTTATTCGTTATTTTATACAACTTAAAACCCATTTACTATGTACATCTACAAACATCTACTGTGGTAACGTCATTATATTATTGGGGGGGTAACTAGATAAATTTTGGTTAGCGTTTTACCATCTGCATGATATTTCTAATATAGATACAAAATTTGACAACAATCGGGTCAGTACTTTCATGGATTATCTGTCTAATAAAAATCCGGGACGGCAAACCGACGGACAGACAGACGGTCAGACGGACAGACAGTAAGAGGGAAACGGGAGACCTATTTCTTCGTACTGTAAGGGTCATGAAAGGTCGAGAAAACAATAAAAGTAGAGAGTCGGTCGACGGATTCGATTACAATACTTCCTTTGCTTACGCTCAGGAAATAAAACCACGAAAGTAAAAAGCTACAACAATGCCAGAAATGATAAAATAATGGGGAAATAAGGAAGAAAAGAACACAATTACACAAAAGAAGCTGGAAACTGTAGCCTACAGATTTTCATTGAGTTGTATATCCTTTTAAGTTAGTAATTCTTTAGTTTGTCTGAATTTATGGACGGGTTAATAAAGATCACGAAGATACAAAACCAATGTAATGTAGGAAACATACTCCTTTTAAATTTTTTATATGAGAAAGAAGATAAAAGATAATTTTCGACAATCACAGAGGAATACCGCAAAAAATTGTACCCGCTAAAGTAATTACAACAATAATTGAAAAAAAAAAAAACGAGAGAACAGAGAAAGCGTTATTTGTTTTAGAGGTCTGGATGGAATTCGAAGAAAATATTCCTGGAGAGCGTTAGAAACTATAGAAATATAATAAAGGCAAACAATGAACAACTGCATGATTTGCAGCAAAGCTAAGAGTAAAGCAAGGACGTCTGCTAGGTCTTCTACTATTGTTACTAGTGTTAAATTAATCAGTAAAAAAATATTGATTTAAGTTATTTAAAGAAAATGTTCCTCGCCCCTGCGGTACAAGCCAAAAAATACGGATTTTTCGAAAGATTTTTTTTTAATTTATTTTTTTATACGGCAACCTAATATAAATTAAAATAAATATGTATGTGGACTGTTAAAGTATAGTTGAAGAAATACGTTATGCGTGCGTTTCAAATTTTTCCATAACAAAAGTTTTTGATTTCATCATCCATATAAAGAGTAAGGATACGTCCTATAAGAATTTGAACAGGTGCAGTTATTACTAACAATAACAGTACTGTATTCCAAATTTTTTGGGAAAATCGATTGAGCCGTTCTTGATTTGGTCAATAAACTAGTCTGTCAGTTCATTAATTTTTTTGAGTCACCCTGTATGAATAATTCTAAAAAATGAATGCACACAAATCATAATCTTTTGCATATTTTTAAGTTGTAAAATGTAATACAATTTTATTTTATTTTTTTGTCTAAAAATCTGAATATCTAGGGTAACAACTCAGCACAGATTTATAAACTACAAGTGCAGGAGTATTTTATTTTATAAAATTTAAATAACATATATTTTTGTAAATTTTGTAGATCTCATTTGTGGTGAAGATGATAAGACATATTGATTAGCGTCTTACCATTCACACGACATTCCGAACGTGCATATTAAATTTCACAACAATCGTTTAGTAGTTACGGAAATTACCTGCCTAATAAAATTGGTACAGACGACAGACAGAGGGAAACGTAAGAGCTACTTTTTCATACATTAGGCGTCATAAAACGCCGAGAAAACATGAAAATAGCCAGTAGTCCGATCGAACTTATTACAATATTTCCTTCGCTTACGGTACAGTTTTGGAAATTTCTTTCTATCCTATAAAATTTTATTGGCAATAACGAGACCGACAGTAGTACAATAGCAAGAGATATTTACAACTTGAAGTTGTCGCGTGCCGGTAATCCTCAGATGTTAGAAAGCAGAATAATCCAGGTCTGAACAGGGCCCATCGTTACTCACGAACGAAAATGACCATTATTTTATGAATACAACTCCCTGCTGAATGTTCTCCGACAAATTCGGGTGAACTGGTCTGAGCCATAAATATTTCTTACCATTGTACTACTGTCACCTCGTTATTGTTAATACAATTTGATAGGGTAGAATGAAATTTCCAAAACTATACCATCCCGCCAGATAATAAAATAATATAATAATAATAAACAAAATAAAGGCAGATCGTAAACTACATGTACAGAAGTATATTATTTTATAAAATTGGACGTCATCGTATTGTTGGTGGGATGATTAGGTTAATCAAAATTTTAGTTAGCGTTTTACCTATTGATATTCCCAATATACATAGAAAATTTGACAACATCGTTCTAGTAGTTTCGGAAATTATCTATCTAATAAGAATCGGGACGGACGACAGACGACAAACGGTAGACAACAGACGGATGGAAATAGGAGATCACATGAAACGTCAAAAAAATATAAAAGTAGCAGTCGCCTGATGGATTCAGTTACAATACTTTCTCCTCATACGTTCGGCAAGTAATAAAATTAAATAAAAACGATAACATCAAGAATGACATATACAGAAAAAATGCACAGCTCAACCAGTGAGAAAATAGGTTAAGGACAAATAAGTTGATTTGGACCTGTGAGCCATCCAACGTCAGATTAATAAAAATAATATTTGAAACGCGGTTAGTGGGAAATAGTACAAAGAGGAAGAAAGAGTGTGGGAAGAAGCAAAAAATGGTCTGATCTTATTAGACAGTTCTTCCCTTGCGTCTGAAGGCAACGAGACAAATCCACTCTCTTATAAAAAAAAGAAAACAGTGTAAGGAAAAAATGGACCCCGCGGCCTTCGTATTATTAGCACGTCGCTCTCACCAATAATAGAGCTAATAGGCCGTTCTTCTGTTTTTATAGAAACTGTATCTGTAGAGTTACGATTTATAAAATAATTTTTTAA